ACATTGTTCCAGACGACGACGGCCCAGAGCACAGATCGCGGCTTGCCGCCACCGCGACCACCCGCCATTTCGAGTTGCACCGGCAACACCGATCGCACGCGCCTTGGCGCAGTATGCACGTCACTCACTGTACACTAAATTAATAAACTCTCGTTGTAAGTTAACAAAACCGAGCGCATTACTGCCATCTCTCCCTCCTATTACGAGCCTGGACGCCGGCGAGCTTACCCAAGCAAGAAAAACCAAGGAAAAGAACGAGGCGAGATAAAGACCCAGTTACATTGGCGCCCGAACAGGGACCTTGACAAAGAGGAGAATCAGAGAGAGAGAGAGAGAAAGATCAGGCACAACAAGAGGAACGGCGGCTCTAACGGGAAGACCCAGGGCCATGGAAGGAGTAGTCAGGAGAGGGTGGATATACACCCTGAGTAAAGAAGCTGACGGAGCTCCTGGAGGAGTATGATCTCAGCCCGGAAGGCACCTTGGACAAGATGAGGCGAAGTATGGGCAGCTATGTCGGACAGCATCCGGAGCAATTTCGGATCCCAGAACCGGTCGTTAATACCGAGGAGGCAAACCGCAAAAGGATACGAGCCCCGAGTCCTGCCCCGTCCGAGGCCTCCAGCGCGGTAGATACGATTAATCAAATCCGGAAATGGGGATGCCGATTCGACGGCAAAGACCCCGTCGCATTCCTAGAGCGAATAGAGGAACTGCAGGTGGGATACGGACTTAGCAAATCTCAAATGCTAACCGGGCTACCAGAGCTCCTGCGTAACGACGCTCTATTGTGGTACCGAAACCACCGCGCCAGCTGGACCCACTGGGATGACTTTGTCCGCGCCTTTCGGGAACAATACCTGCCACGGCGCTACCGAGCCCAGTTAGTACGGGAGCTACAACATCGGCGCCAGCTGGAAGGAGAGCCATACGCTAAATACGCCACAGCGGTGCTCACCCTCATGCGGCGAGCCGGCCGCCTGGAGGTGGACGAACAAGTAGAGCAACTATACGAGGGCCTCCTACCCGAGTACAAACTTTACGTACGACGGGATGATGTCAGGACCCTCGCCGAGCTAGGCTCACGGACGGCGGATCCAACCGCCGGCCCCCAGAGCGACCGCGACCTCCCACCCTGGCCGCCGCCTATAACCGCCAGCAGTGTTGCTGGAGGTGTAAGGAACGGGGACATACCCGAACCACCTGTAGACGGCCCGCACGAAAGTTCTGCTCGTAGTGTGGCAAGGATGGAATCCTGACCCGAGAGTGCCATCCACGGCCGGGAAATGCCACCCGGGCCGGGGTGTACCAGGCCGAGCCCCGGTCCCTGACGGAGTCCGCATAGAATACGAGCCGCGCCCGTTCGTCACCGTCCGCTTGCGGGGACATGCCGTACGGGCCCTTATAGACTCCGGCGCGGAGGCCTCCTTCATTAATCACGGCACCGCCGACCTGGCGCGGCGAGTACGCTGTACGCCCCGACTGGAGGGAAAAGAAATCAGGCTGGCGAATGGAGCGACCGTTACCCTCGCCGGCACTGTGCGTCTGCCTCTGCAAGTGGGGCGGCACGTAGTCAGCCACGATTTTTTCGTAATGCCGGCCCTGATCGAGGACATGATCTTGGGGCCGACCTGTGGGCCCGCCTACAGCTACCACTATGTCCTCCGGCGGTCCCGACCACGACCGCGACTCCGCTCCGTCTCGCACCCCTAAGCACCGACGCAGGGGGACTTGCGCCTATGACAATACTCCAGCGACACCGGCTGCAGGAAGTCTTAGAGGAAGAGATCCAGCAGTTCGCGACCGTACCAGGGCCCACGCCCTGTGTACAGCACGAGATCCGACTGAAGCATGGGAGCCGGCCCATCAAACAACGGTTCGACCCCGTAACCCGGCGATGCAAGGCATCATTGACCGAGAGATCCAAGAAATGGAGCAAGAAGGCATTATAGAACCCGCGCATAGCCCGTGGAGCTCCCCGGTCGTATTGGTGCGGAAGAAAGACGGCAGCCGGAGGTTCTGCATCGACTTCCGAAAGGTAAACGAGATTACGGAAAAAGATGCCTACCCACTGCCGCAAGTGACCGCCACGCTGGACAAGCTCCGCGGCGCCCGGTACCTGAGCACCATCGACCTCAAAAACGGGTACTGGCAGGTGGCTTTAACTCCCGCCAGCCGCCCTATCACTGCCTTCACGGTCCCCGGCCGCGGGTTAATGCAGTTTTGGGTGATGCCGGTTGGCTTACATTCCGCCCCCGCCACGTTTCAACGCCTCCTGGACACCGTGCTGGGAGCGGAACTGGAGCCCCATGTCCTGGTATACCTGGACGATATTATCATAACCACGCGGACTTTCGAGGAGCACATACGCGTCCTCCAGGAGGTATTTCAACGGCTCCGAGCCGCCCACCTGCGACCAAACCCGGCCAAATGCCAGTTCGGACGCAACATCCTCCGATACCTAGGGCATGTCGTGGACGCACAGGGGCTGCGAACCGACCCCGAGAAGACAAACGCTGTCGCCAACTGGCCAACCCCTACGACGATACGCAAGGTGCGCCAGTTTCTAGGGATGGCCTCGTGGTACCGGCGGTTTATACCACAATTCGCGAGGACCGCCGCGCCACTTACCAGGTTAACCGGGAAGTCGGCTCGATGGCACTGGGGCCCACAGGAAGAGGAGGCTTTCCAGGCGCTAAAGGCGGCCCTCACCTCCACCCCGGTGCTCGCATGCCCGGACTTTGCACGGACCTTCGTGCTACAGACGGACGCCAGTGCTCTGGGCCTGGGGGCGGTGCTCACCCAGCAATTCGAGGAAGGGGAACGCGTCATCGCATACGCGAGCAGAACGCTAAATCCCGCTGAGCGAAACTACAGCGCCACCGAGTTGGAGTGCCTGGCGGTCGTCTGGGGCATCCGGCGCATGCGGACGTACCTGGAGGGATACCGGTTCACCGTGGTCACCGATCACCAGGCACTGCGCTGGCTCCACAGCATGAACTCCCCCACCGGCCGGCTAGGCCGCTGGTGGTTCGAGCTACAGCAATACGATTTCGAGATCAAGTATCGGCGCGGCGCCGCCAACCAGGTCGCTGACGCCCTATCCCGGCGACCCGAAGTCTGCACCCTGAAACAGCCCGCTCGGGACCGATGGTACGAACAATTGGCCGGCCAGGTGCGCCAGCAACCACAACAGCATCTCGATTATCGCATCGATAAAGGACGACTCTTCCGCCACCTCATACACGACCTCGACTTTCGCGAGGTCCCAAGCCAGGAGCAATGGAAGGAATGTGTCCCACGGGAGCGGCGGCCCGAAATAATGCGCCAATATCATGACGAGCCTTTCGCTGGGCACCTGGGGATAGCCAAGACGATCGCACGGATCGCCCGACGGTTCTACTGGCCCGGCATGTATCGTGACATCGCCCGTTATGTACGACGGTGTCCGAGCTGCCTGGCCCATAAAACCCCTCAGGGTCACACAGCAGGCAAACTACACGCCACGGCGGTCCACGCGCCCTGGGAGCAGGTGTCACTGGACCTGGTCGGGCCTCTGCCGCGGTCAAGCCAGGGACACCGGTGGCTGCTCACGATGCAAGACCGGTTCACCAAATGGCTGGAAACGAGGCCGCTACGACAGGCCACCGCTAATGCCGTGGCCCAGGCTATCTTGGCCCAGATCGTCTACCGGCACGGATGCCCCGACACCATCATCACGGATAACGGGACACAATTTGTGTCAAAACCCGTTCGCACGGTGACCCAGAGCCTCGGGATCCGCCACCGAACAACGCCGATCTATACACCGCAGTGTAACCCGGTGGAACGGGCCAATCGCACCGTGAAGACAATGATAGCTCAATACGTGCAACGAAACCACCGGCGGTGGGATGAACACCTCCCCGCTCTCCAGTATGCGTTCAACACTGCCCGAAACGAGGCAACCGGATATACACCGGC